AGGAATGATTTTCTTGTTCCTTCTGGTGTATGGACCAGCAAAAGAAAATGTTCGCCCACAAGTGTCACAGTTATTCAGTATCATATCCCAAAATGGGTCCCAGCCATTTCTCCACCTCTGCCACAGACAAATTTTTTCTCAGTGCATAATCTTCAACCTGCAAAGGGACCACAAAACATTATAAAGATTTGGAAACTCCAGCTTTTACTGTTTACAAATTTTTTGGAACAGCTGCTCACAAGGTGTTTTTGAATGCTGTAACAATGGACTGTGCATGTTACCTGATCTTTACATATCTTGCCAACAGCAAAATATTTGGATTTGGGACTGGAAAAGTAGAGGCCAGAAACTGCAGAAGCAGGTAGCATTGCTAGTGATTCAGTTAAACCAATTCCTGAAAAAGAGAATGAGAATTTTCTTATTCTCTGAATTGCTAATAAGCATAAACTCAGAACCATTTGTAGTTGGGCAGCTTCAAGCAAACTCAAAACCCAAGAAGCTTTCAGACGAACTAAAAACAAAACCATTTTCCACTTGTTAATTATTAAAAAAATACACATAGCTTTAAATATATTGCAGACTTTCAGTACAGTATTACTGTAGAGTAACTGTGTAGCTTGAAGGAAAACAACTTAGACATTTTGGCAAATTAAACGGCTAACCAGAGGTTTTGAAACACAGGAAGGTATTTTTGGAATTGTGGAAGTAGCAGTGAAATGTCTAACACAAAATATCAGAGGAAAACAAATGGAATTCATTCCTTTTTTAAGGGTTACCATCTCAAAGCTTCTGTGGACTAGGAAATACACTGCTGAATTGGCTTTTTTCCTCTTTATATCTGGAATGTCTTCTTGCAACCGTAAGGATGCTAAAATTTTTTTTTTTATGTGCAGCAGAACCCTGTTTGCATGCAGTCTGCTAATTAGGGACACAACTCCTTCACCAAAAGCTCTGGCAGTATTTTGCAAATTCTTCCTTGAATGAGGCAAAATAAAAATGGCAATTGAAAAAGGGGAAGACAGCAATTCCCAGAACCACTTCAGTTTGTTTTGTTTTTTAATGTAGCTCTGCACCACCCAATTTGCTGTTTTGTCGGCATTTCAATCTTTCATTTGTGTAAAAATAGCTTAAGAATCTTAGTAAAGCAGACAGAAGTACCTGTTGTTTCCTCAATGTTTGCAAGTTTCCACATTGTGAGTTTTTCTGTATGGTCAGGCTGGCTTGGATATCCAGGGGCAGGGCGAATTCCCTCGTATTTAATTCTGCGTAGGTCAGAGAGATCTAGCTGCTCAGTACTACAGTAAGCCCAGAATTCCCTTCGAACCCTTTCATGGAGCTCCTCAGCAAATGCCTTGGAATAGAATGCAAATATTTTTTTTTTTTTTTAAATTGTGCAGACTGACCCTATAGCTATTTGGTGAAAACAAACAATGGTAGAGACTTTCTCCCCATTCCATTTTAATTTTTAAGGAGACTCTTATCATAGGTGAGAAATTCAATAGCATTAAAATTAACATATTAACATACAATACTTATTTTGCTAATTAAACTCCTTCAGTTTTTTCTCTTGTTGGTAGACAGTATTTTCTGGTTGTCCTGCTTTAAAATCCTACATACTCAAAGAGGTAAAGATGTGGACAAGTAACCAGAAAAGACGAAGTTCATTAGCCTATGTACAGTACATCACTATAGCACTAAAGTCATTATGTCTTGACTATCTGGGTATCTTGCCCAAGCCTAGCTATGGAGGGCCACATCATTCTTGCATCCATGCTCGTATCAGGTGTAAGTGCGTGCCACTGTTCTTTTTAGCAGAGGACCTTTCCTCTAGCTGAAACGGGGCAACAGCTTTTCTTAACTGCTGTTATAACTTACGCTACTTTGCCAGCAACGGTTGCCTTCAGGAGAAATTTCCGCTTCCGTAAATATCTTTAGATGGCACTGAAACTCTGTTATAGCTTGAAATGGACAACTAGAGCTAACCCTATCTGCATTGCATCGAAGTTGCTGTAAGTTTTAACAAGGTTGCTTATGTTGTAAGCATGATGGCAGACAGATGGGATAGAGGGGTAGCAGGGAAGGGAGAGCATTTTCTAAAGGACTTCAGTTAGAGCTTTAAGAGCATGTCTGTCTAAGCCTAAGACACGTTAAGTCAAAAGATTTGTACCCTGCATACATCTGCATGGTCACCATTACAGTAGAAGGCATGTCAGCGATTCAAGAATATAATCAGTGGGTCACACTTGGGTGCAAACACACTCTCAGGTAGATAAAAAAAGATTTAGAGATAGTTCTTTTTAAACAGTCTTGCTTTAAATCTACTAAATTCTATCCATCATCAAAACCCTCATAAAAAGCTCAGAGATGCTTCTGCAGGTGGAAGATGTGGACAGCAGCGTCTCCTCTGGCTCAGAAGAGGATTCTCAAGACAGCTTCAGTAGAACCAGCTCATTTTCAGATGTAACGCAGAGCATACATTACAGGCAACAGTCTAAGTTTATGTTGAAACTTGAAACAGCAACCTGTCAGGCAAATCTAGTACACGGTCAGAAAATTTGCAAGGAAACGCATGATAAAACCTCATACCTCTGCCAACCGATCACCAAGAGCCTTTACCATGATGATGTTGTATTCATCATCCTGTTTCCTAAATTCATTGCATAACTCATCTACACCAAAGAGGGCCACAGCAAACAGGCCTAAGTAGTCACAAATGCCAGAATCCAGTGGTGCAATGAAGTCAGAGAGGCAGTAATATGGATCTGTGCAGGCAGGGTCTTTCTCAGCCTAAAGTAAAAAAAACAATGCAATAATGTATTTTTTAAATGTTCTGATTTAAGTATTAGCGCGCTGTTAATCTGAAGACCAGTATTAAGACTAAAGGGCTTAAGGCATTTCTGACAAACACCTAACTAGCCTTTGAGCCATGATGGCTTTCTGGTACCTGAATTCAAAGAAAAACACCTCTCTCTCTCTCTCTCTCTCTCTCAGGGTGTTTGGATCACTGAAGGACAAAATGTCAAAGAGGATAGATGTTTTCTTTTTATTTACAGCTAGTAAGATTTAACAGCTGATTCTGCAGACAAATTATTACAAAAGAAGGAACACTTGTGCCAACCACTGTGTAAGAGGAGGAGTTTTCCATCTCTAGCACTCAGATTCCACTTTTGTTAGCAAAACTGATGGTTGATGGTTCGTATCCCAGTTATGCGAACTGCAGAATTCTTCAGCAACTCACATTTTCAAATGGCTGTGAGAATTTATAAACACTCCCAGTTTCTTATGCTACAATCCATATGCTCAGTAATCCAGCCAAAACAGCACCTCAGGATGTAGGTTTAGACTAGCCACATGCAAATAGAAACAAAATGCATCTGTTACTACAGAAAAGTTGAATCCCAAGCAAGGTTCAAGAGGCTTTACGCAAACAGTAAATATCCTGCTCACTGGATCCTTTTCCAAAATGGAAAAAAACTGAGAGAGGGGTGACCAAATGCTGGCCATAGCACCTAACAAGATGTTTTACAGTTGCGGATCTCATCAGCAGAGAGATAAAAGTTATTTCACGGCTATCACTTGGCTGAAGATTCCTCTCCAAGTTTTCTTATTCTATGACAATATTTCCACCCGCTCCCAACTGCCGTTTAAAAACCAAATAAAACACCACCAACCCCCCTGAAAAATAGAGAAAAATTTCCCTAGTTTCTATAACCTACTAGGTTACAGAAAGTACCGTAAAACTGAAGAAATATCCTTTTCCCACATAGGTGAAGTCTATGTTAATTTTGAGGTTCTTCTGTAATGATTACAGTTAAGGAAAATACTAAATGCAATTCTAATCTTTAGATTTACATCACATCCTTAATGGTGCCAATGTCATGGAGAGAACTCTGCATACTGAAAGGAACAATTTATATAAGAAACAGGAGGCAATTATTCTCTTCTACTTCACTCTGGTGAAGCCTCTGCTGAATTACTACATACCCCAGATTGAAAGAGATGCAGCTAAAATACGTAGAGTCTGGAAGAACAGTACTCATAGCTCAGAGTTTCATGGCCTTAACCTTTAAGAAAACCCTGAAGAAATTGGCAATTTATAAGGAAAATAACAGTATTCCAATAGTAAAAACCATTACAAGAAGAACATCAAATCAGATATTCTCCTTAGGAGAACCCTAGGAAAAGGCCAGAAAAAGAAACTGTAGTAAATTTGATTTACATGGGATATCAAAATGTTTAACTAGGAACAGCCCTGCCTGAATGTTTGTGAGAACAGTTTATATAAACATCTGCCGTGGATTGTCAAGATACACTAGATCCATCTCCACGCAACAGATAATCTGTTCCAGGGAACTGGAACAAATAAACTTGAAGTCATGTATTTCTTAGCACAGTTCTGCAACACTGGCACAGGACTGTCCTCATAGAATACTGTACTCCAGATTTTTTTTTTTTTTTTTTTTTTTTGTGCCATGTTTGATGACACTGAATATGTGAGCTATGAAGAAGCCAGGTCAGAAGGTAGGGAAGAAGGAGAGGCAGAATATCTTGAAAATATTCAATCTATCAAAATAAATGCAAATCTAGGCAAGTATGATTCAAGCATGAATACTTATAATAATGATTCTATCAATCAGAATTAGCAACCAACTAACTAATTCTAAACTGCCTCTTCATATGGGGAGTTTTACACAAAAATTAAGTCTATCAAAAACACTTACATCCATTGAGCTTTATTTTCCAGGTATTTTAATTAAAAGTGTTTTTAACCTTTAACACATTCAAGCAGAATTTTTCATCTAAGGCAGAATCCAGAGATGTTAGAGAATTAAGGTTCATTAGGTTCTAATTTAGCACACAGGATCCACGTGATGAATTTACACAGCACAGAGCTCTAGGACATATTAAATATTAAAATGAAGACAGCAAATGCAAGACATCTGAAGATGTAAAATCTATAAAGCATTTTGTACAACTACTACACTGCAAAATACTACAAATACTACAATACAAATACCAGGATCATCACTAACAAGATCTTGTTATTACTGAAAGATATGGCAAGACAATGGCTGAGACAGATTACAACCACCATTTTTTGATAGTGCACTTCTGTTACATTCTTGCAATTCAGGAAAAAAAAAAAAACAACACCACTTTGACAAATGTTCTATCATTGTACCTGTTGCCTCAAGCCATGAAATTTTGCTATTGGTTCTGAAGATCCCACTGCGTCTTCTACTGCATATAAATGGATATCATCTTGAACACTTTGAGCTGGCCAGAACCCAACCACGCCTCTGGCTTGTAGTTTCTTTTGATTAATCAATGTTTTCAGTAGATTTTGAGCATCATTATAAACTCTCTTTGCTTCTTCACCTATTAAAAAAAGAAAACCCTTTAAAAAAAGGCATGTTTTCACAACTGGCTACGTGGGTTTAAGAACTGCTGAAGATTGGTTCATTTTCCACATAATTCTCTGATGACTGCAACAATCTGTCAGCCACAGCAAACAGACAACAGTGTGATTACGTCTATACAACTGTAACAACATATATCTGCAAAAAAAAAGTTTCAGCCAGCACCATTCCAGTAGAGGCAGAGGAGGAAGAATAAATGAGCAACAGAGAACGTGTGCCCACAGTGCAGCAGATCCAGAACATTGATTTCAGTGTCACCCTTGCAGTTTCATCCCATATTTCAAGGCCTACTGAATAGTTTCAGAAGGAGACTAAGCCCTCTTGCCATCTTCACCCACAATGGGGACAAGAGATATATTAAGTTCTCTGCTGCCATTTTCTGCCTATTAAAATACCTCCCTGTGCTCTGGCAGGTGAATTCTAAGTAAGATAACTGAGCATTTTTCCCCATTTATTTTTCCCCAATGAAATTTATTTTTCAGCCTCACAAGCCAACATCTGGTTCATTAAATGTTGCTTTAAACAAATTATTTCACTGACACTAGGTTTCCACGTATTTTCACTATTCCTATGTATTCCAAAACATTCAGAATCTTTGTGCAGCATGGCAGGTCTGTTAGGATTATTTACATGAAGTAAATGAAATTTCAATACTCACCTACAGTTTTATCATTAAAGACTTTAGGGAAGCCCCGGTTGGGATACTTTCCCCTAAGTTGCCAGACATCAAAGAAAGGCTTCCAGTCAATGTATTCTACCAGCTTCTTCAGGTCGTAATCTTCAAAGACTTTTGTGCCAATGAATTTTGGTTTAACTGTAGGAATCAGAAGTACAATCTGACATGATGAAAATAATTTAATATTGCTCCTGTATGTGCAACATAACTGATGCTCACCAGCCTCTACCACTGTAAGTGACCTCTTCCAAAGTAATTGTCTTAGAATTCTGTCATATCGTTCCCAAGTCATAGCATACTCATTTAATCACATTAATTACAATGTGATTAAAAAAAAAAAAGCATAAAAGGCCTATAAAGCTGAAATACAAAATTTAAGGCCTTTTGTTCTTTCACATAAATCAACACTTATTAACTGTTGGGCTTCTGAACTTCTTTCATTGGCACTGTTGTCCAAAGCAGAAGACCAAAAAACCCTACACAACTTATCAATACCTAACGTATTTTACGGGCATATACTTTTCATATTTACAAATCTCGCTTTCTATACACAGACATATTATGTGCTACGGTACTGTGGAATAGTTCTGTAAATTAATATGTAATTTAGAAGAACCTTTGCAACCAGCACACAGTTCTTCACATGCACAAGTGAAAAAGCGAGGTGGATTTATGTTATGACGTAGCCACAAGCTTTGCACTTGTTTTGTTTGTGCTGTTCAGTACTTTGTAATACACCCTTTCTTAAGATGAGCTACTGAAAATTAGCATATTGATGAGTCTTGTAAATGAAAGGACAGAAAGCAGTGGTGTGTTAATGTCACTGCAGGATGCAACTTCTTGTGGAATGCTGTTTATACTTCTAGTCTCAAATTTAAAAAAAAATAAAACAAAACTGATACAGAAACTGATGGGGGAAGGGTAGGAAAAAGTGTGAGGAGGAATTTGATACAAATGCCATGTCACCATGTGTGTTCCATAAATATTGTATAGTAAGCTTCACAACATAGTAAGCCAGTCTGACATTATTTTGCAAAACTGGCATTAGGACTTATCTTTGATTATATGGTGTTATGGGTAACTCATTGTTTTAGGATGTTTTGCCAATTTTTTTATTAACTATTAATTTATTTTTTAAATATACTGTGAAAAATATAAAGCAGAAAAAGGACACTCAAATTTATGAAGAAGAAAAAAAAAATCTGTGCTCAGACAGGTACCAGTTTACTCGAGTTGTTACACTACTGTATCCTGAAGTTTCATGAAGCATAATCTACTAGGGAAGGAAACGGGGCAGGAAACAGGAAAAGCACAGCAACAACAAACAACAACATTTAAACTGACCTGGTTTATGGCCTAATAACCAGTCATTATGGAAACCTTTTCTTCTAGCTTGCTGTAGAGACAAGTATCTTCTTTCCTGTATGGACATAAAGGTTAATTTCACAAAGCCAGCCATCTTTCAGACAGATAAACTGTAACTGTTGACTTGGTGGTAGAGTTTTACTCAAAATGGTGTTCGGGACAAATCTGACAAACAGCCAATTTCAATTCCAACAACTTCCAGTTCACAGGTGTAAAACTAAGATTACATCACAACCATACTACTATTTTTTTCCTCTATACTTCTAATGAAACTGGCCAACAAGATTTCTAGTTCCTCTGAACTACACCAGAAGTCTCTCTACTTCAAATTACATGAAAATCCAGGTGCAGCGAGATATTCTCCTACTGCCTGCAGAAAGCTTAAGATTGCAGTGACACCACCACCAGTGACTGCAGCATGCCTCTGGGCAAACTACTGGCTCTGCTGAAAGACACAGGAAATTTATAGCAACTTCCATAAGGCCCATGAATTCAGTGCTCACCTCTGCTTAAAGGAGAGTGAGTGGACCACTCAGCTTAGTGGACTGCTTCCCTGTGCAAAGACAGTCTTAAATTGTTAAGCCAAATGTTCTCAGCAGGAGGCCTCAAGCTTTACCTTTCTTTATCAAGAGACCAGGTAAGAGCCAGGTGACTTTCAGCTTGCTTCCATGATTACAAAAACAGCCTCACAGAAGTCATATCTTATTTGTTTCCTATTGTTAATTTGCACAGTCCATCTCCACATTTCACTGCTTCCTTCCCTTTACTTTCCTAAAATGGCAGCCTCAGCTCCCTACTTTGAGACTGCTCAGATCTCGAACCTAAACCATATGAACACATCAGGAAAGTCTAGTGTTGTAAAATACTCAACACTGTGGCTTAGTACCAGCAAAAGCAACCAGTGCCATTTTAGTTACCCCAGTGTAACAGTGGCAACTCCCTGTTTCCAGCTACTGCTCCAGGAGAGTACTGGTCTCTTGCATGTTGCTTAAGTTGACATCACTGCCAGCTCCATAGAGATGTCCTAGATGCCACTGATTGCCGACTGAGGACAATCAAGAATTTGCCAAGCATTTGTTAAACTCATGCAGAATTTTTCCTTATAGGCTAGAAAGTTTGATTTGATAAGCACTTCTGGAAGTTTTCTATCAATTCTACTGCATGTTGTAGATCAGCACAAATACACCTGAAGGTCTTCAAAAGGAGCTGCAACAGAGTTAGTAATGAGGCAGGGACCAACCACTTCAAACAAGAAAAGCAGCTAATACAATTATATTTGTACCTTAAGAGACTCATAGTGTTCTTGTCTAATTTCTTCATATTCCTCTACTATTTCTTCAAAGAAATCATCCTTTACACTTTCATCTAAGAGCTGGGAGCACTGAAAAAAGTAAAGAAAAAGTGCTAAGTACATACTATAACAACTAGAGTAAAGAGAGTATGAACTTCAGACTATGCTATCTGTCTTTCAGACTTGTTTCCAATTACACTTGGCAACTCTAAACACTTAGCCTTACCACTAATTTGCAAGGTAGGTCCAAAACATATTTAAGAATATGATTATTACTGAGAGTACTGCCCTACTACACAGGTAATATTAGCAGAGCCAAGTCTGGCTCTGGAAAGGCCTGAGAGGAAAATACTCCAAGACTTTAGAGACTGAATAGTCATAGAAACAACACACAGCTTGGCCTACTTCTTTGCAGCAGGTATTTGCCAGCTAAGGCTACCTATTTGTATGACAGAGCGAGCATCCACCCCGGAAAACTCCAGTCAGCTATTTCATAGTACTAATTTTGCTGTATCGCTAACTTCAGAAATACATCCAAAAACAGAGAGAATAGCAGATCACATCTCACCCCATCGCTCTTCACTATCAAACATCTCAAAACTACAGTCATGGTGTCAGAGTAAATTACGTCACCATCGCTAGAGAAACAGACATTTAAATAAAGGTACCCTGTGACAATAATTGACGCAAGTCAGATGAGATAACCATGTGGCAGCAAAAAATAACAGTAGTTTAGAAACTGGTCTCTGTCGTGCCTCTTCAATTTTCTGCCATAACATTAAGCCTTAGAGGAAAGTATGAGAGGCACAACAGAAAAACAGGGCATAGATTTTTGCACGGATGAGAAACTATAATTTAGAACTTACAACCACAACACTCTTGGATGCATCCAGGACATGAATTACAGGTGCGCTATATCGTGGGGCAATTTTAACAGCTGTGTGTGTTCTTAAATGAAAAAGAAAAAGAGTGAGCGTTTCATAACTGAAACAAACAAAAAACCCAACCCAAACCAAAAAACCCAGACAAAACCCCCAGCAAAATAAATCCTGTCTTAATGTGTATGCCAGAACTTCAAAAGCAGCAAGCAATTCATCCATCTGCTATGCACGGATGATTAAACACAGACTTTAATCATAGGTACATAAACACTTTTATTCAAAGAGTATCAGAATACTTCATAAAAAATGTGCCAACTCACATTCCCTCGCTGTCCTACCAGCTGACTGAAAAATCAGCAACTCATTAGTTTGAACCTCAGAAAATTTCAGTGACAATGTTCCAAACTAAGCCTACCAAAAACTAACAATTTTTTCTTAATCTTTTTTGCGCATCTTACATTTTTCCCTCCCACATGCTAGCTTCTGGGTCTCTGGATTAGCATTAGCATATTTCAGTGATTGTTATTCCATTTCTACAATGCTGTACTTCAAAACCAGAGGCACATGCCCTCTACTCACCTGAAGAAGAATTTCTGCCAGTGGTCAATAAATACTACAAACTTGCACCTGCTTGGTCAGTCAAGTCATTCACATAAAAAACCCTCCCAATTCATTCAATTATTTAGCACTTACTCATATTCCAGTTCTCTCTGAAATACTTCAGCATATAATGAAGAATCACTTCTGCATTATAGTACTTCATTGATCAAATTAAAGCTTGGAATCCTAAACTGAGACCTAAGCTTTCACATGAAATGCAACCCCTGTTAAGCAGTGTCCTAGCAAACTCTGCAAGCAAGTGCAGGAACAAAGACCTTGCGGGCCAAACCTCAGTTTGCTTTCTTGAATGCAAAGGTCAAACACCATTTTTAAAATTAATTTAAATCAGAACCCAGGAAGTGATCTTCCACAGGTAAGAACTCCTTTTTGTTCAGGTTCTGTCAAATATTGTCAAAACTTGGACGTTCAGGTTACTGATGACTGTGGAACACAGCTGTTTAACCAACTGTCCAGGATCTTCTTAATTTGCTTTCTAGGTGATGCACTTTTGATCTTGGCAGCTCTATGTTTTAGAAAAAAGGTATTGTATCTTCTATTTTTATAAGAACAGACAAAGAAAACAAACATGGCATGGCCCTACAATGGCACTGTATCAACTAGTACATCCTAATTTTTATATTTTTTAAAAATAAACATTACCACAACAAAACTGTCACCATTATCTGTCAGCATCTGAATTTACCAAAGCAATATAATAAGAATGCAAACATCATCATTATTGTAAGGTATGACAAAACTCTATTATGTAGATTCTGTAGGCAAAATCCAGCCTCTCTCTCTTTCAAACTAACCTCACTTTCCAGCCTTCCAAGTACTTATGGTCTCCATATTCCAAATAACAATGTCTACTTATTACAGAGAAAAGTGCAGGTGGTTCTTTATTAGCAACCTCTGACATGTACACAACCTTTCAGAATGCACACATGAGGTTAAACTTAAGACTGTGGAAGTAAAGTTACCAGTCTTTCATAAAGAATACCTTTACTTTACACATATTTTATAGAAACAGTATGTGTCTGGGCATACGCATAAGTATATATTTATATACAGTTCACATGAATAAAATTGTTTATGTATACAAAATTATACATATATTCTTCAATAATTTCCACATTCAAGGATAAAACTCGTGTTGCCTTGCTGTTAGCTACATTCATCTCTGTGAATAAGTTCCACAAAATTGTGTGATGCTGGTTATTTGACATCAGTCACTAGGCCCTGTGTACAAACACCAAAAAGATCTGAAGAATGGGCTCTCCTAAGACCTCTACTTAAGAATAAAGCCTTTTCCCCCCCTCCCCTTTCTTATTTTAAGAAAAAACTCTCCCTGTTTGTTCTCAGTATCAAAGCCCCAGGAAAAGAGACTCCTACGGAGGAGAAAAAGGACATGGTTTAACCTTGCATTATAACCACAGGACCAATAAAGAAAGGTCATGATCCTACTCTTCACTGTCTGTCAAATTATGGGACAATTTGCTAAGGCAAAAAATACAGAATACATTTAGCTCATGGTTCTGCTACAGTATGTGCAGCTCTGATAAAGAAAAACGGCTAGCAGCTTCTAGGTATACAAAGAATGACCTCTGCAGTCTTCTGAGCTGTCACCTACTCAAGCATATTGTACATAAACCAGTTAGCAAAGCGTGACCCAAGGCTGTTACACATGCCCAAAACACATTTTGTGGTAATGTTAATCCTAGGTGTCAGTAAGCTGTCAGCACCAGTCTTCAGGACATCATAGCAGCTGTATTATTTCATTTGAATGGATCCGAGAGAACCAGATCTCAACAGAAAAGCTCAGTTTATCAAAAGCAATGTGGTAACTACTTCAAAGCAAGCAGCTAGAATTTATCCCGTCAGCCTGCTCAACCAGGACTGGAGGCTCAGTCCTATCAGCACAGTGCTGAACAGTGATCCAGGAAAATACATTAACTTTCCTAAAGATAATAGCTCCCCTATGTTGATATGACCATTTCTAGTCCCCAAATCCTGCACTTTCAGAATGCTTTGGTGAATCGAAATAGATCATTCAACCTCTTAGAAGAACAGAACTGTATTCATATGCATATGCGAGCTTATAGGAAATATACACATACACACATCCACATACAATATATACTTGCAAAATACCTAACACTTGCAAAAATGAAATGTTTAAGACATCCACTGTTTGTTGGGTCCCAATTACATTTTACCTCTGATGTTAAGAAATAACATGCACTTTTAAGTAGATACATACCAGTATGTGTCTTGTAGGAAAATGAGGGAAAGGGAGAGAGAAATGGCTATAAATTTTCTTTTTCCCTGGTTAACACCATTTTCATACACATTCCCCATCTTCCCAACTGAGATGTCTTACTTAGAAGTAGTTGCTCCTCCAATCAGCAAAGGAATCTTTATTGCCAGTCTCTCCATTTCCTTGGCGACAAAAATCATTTCATCCAAAGAAGGGGTGATGAGACCAGACAGGCCAATTATATCTATTGCAAATATACAAACACACACACAAAAGGTTTAGCAAATCCACTCTAGAGAGACACAGAAATTATTACAGAAAACATTTCTTTCATACATCAGATAGCTTCATGCATCAGATAGAAAACAGTGAGATAAAAAGCAGGGTAGTCGCTAGTCTAGAAGCAAGGTTTGACCTAATTAGGAAGTGAAAGCTTTCCAAGAATGAAAGTGATTCCAAATCCCCAGTGTAAGATATTTCTCAAACAGTCTTCACAGCTGCTGAACACCTACTGCTCTAGTTTCAGCAATAAATATCAGTATTTCTGATAAGCAAGCTTCAAACCTCAGAAGTTCAGCACTAAGGAGGAAAATAAGACCAAATAATTACAAGCTCTGCTCTTAGAAATGGCAAAAGCTTTCAAACTTCAACAGCTATGTTCCACACAATTCATCCTTTCCAAGTAGCAATAGACTGTTTCAAATCAATTTTAACTTGTTTCAGAAAGTTTGTAATTTATTAGAACAATTCATTCCCGATTTCACACTCACTGATCTGGCAGGCTGAATGCCAAGGTCTTTCACTGATGTAAGACCCAACACAAAGTTATTTAACCTTTTCAAGTCTCCATTTCTCCATCTGTAAAACAAATACTAAAACATCTCTCTTGGAGTTGTCCTTTCGATATAGGTTTTCAGTTCCTTGGGCTAAGTTTCACAAAAGTGCCAGATACTAAAGAATTACTATTGTTAATGCAAAAGTTCTGATTTATCTGAAGGTAGCCTGACCAAGTCATAGACAGCATAGGAATGCAACAAGTAGCAATAAAAAAAAAAAGTGAGTGAGGTTTAAAATCAAACAATTCAGGAGTACTAAGGAAATCTCTCTATACCTGCTTTGTTCTCAACAGCAGCTCTCAATATCTTATCACATGGAGTCATGACTCCTAGATCAATAACTCTGTGAAAAGAAATGAGACAACACAAGATTCTTAAAAAAAAAAACAGGTCAAATTTCTGATAGAGGGCAAATACATTGCTCTTCCTGTAAATGGCTGACCTAAAATTTAAGTTAAAAATTGAGATTTGTTTGTTTGTTTCTCATAAGACCTCTGTTGGGAATTTTAATTTAGGAAACACCTCTGGGTCTGGCAAAATTTTCAATACATCAGAGTTCCAGATGACACAGTAGATAAGAAAATTCAAGTGTAAGAGGCTTTTTTTTTTTTTTTTTTAATAATTTTCTTGTTGTTGTATTAAGCCTCACTGAGATGGAGTTCATTTTCTTCATAGCAGCTGATATGGTGCTTTGTTTTAGATCTCTGACCGAAACAATGCTGATAACACACTAGTGTTTTAACCATTGATGAACAGTGTTTGTCCAGCATCAAGGCCTTCTCTGTTTCTCACTCTAATACCCCAGGGAATAGACTGGGGTTGCACGGGAGGTTGGAAGTAGACACAACCAGGCAGATGACCTGAACTAACCAAAGAAATAATCCATGGTACATGATGTCATGCTCAGCAATAAAAAGGGAGAAGAAGGGGTTTAGCGGGGTTTAGCCACCTTTTGCTCAGGAACTGGCTGGGCATCATCTACTCATGGCAGGTTGCAAGTGACTGCTTTGCATCACTTTTTTCTCTTTTCTTTCTCTTCCTCTTCTCCTTCACTTCAACATTTTTTACCTCCACCCATAATTTTTCTTGCTTTTATTCTTTCTTTCCTCATCCCACAGAGGTTGGCTGGGTGAAAGTGAGTGAATGGTTATACGGTGCTTAGCTGTCTACAGGGGTTAACCAACAGCAGCGGCATTTCTGAAATTATTTGGCAAATGTGGAAAGGTTTCGTGGACATCATATCTTATGTCAGGAATATAAAATGATTCTCATTAAGTTTTTTTGTCTTACTAAAGCATACATTTTATTAAATGAGACACTATACGTCCCTTGCTAGCATTTTATTCCTATTAACCCTAGCCATTGCCAACGTTTTTTATGTTTTTCAAGTAAGCCATCCCAGCCTGCTGGCTTCATTCAGCCTCACTCATACTCATGGTGACAGAAAACACTGTGGCTTCAGTTCAGTAAGTCTAAATAAAGCTCAAGAAAGCATGAAACCAATTGTCAGACTTTCAAGAGATAATGAAATGGAATATACTGCATATACACAGCACTGCTACTGGCTTCAACCCTTTGTGTTTTAAAATAGAGAGATAATTTTGGCTCTGTTTAGAGCAAATTACAGCCCCAAGTCAAAACCAAAACTAAGGGAATGAATGGTAAGACAGAGTTCCAAACCAGATCAGCTTTGCACAACATTTGACAGAGAGCCCTTGACAAAGGGCTCTAATGGAAACGTTACCATTCATTCCAACACTGTTGCCAACCCTGTTGCATTTACTGAAAGAGGGGTGAAGCATTGGAACAGGCTGCCCAGGGAAATGGTGGAGTCATCATCACTGGAGGTGTTCAAAAAACATGTAGACGAGGCATTTCTGGACATGGTTTAGTGGGCATGGTGGTGTTGGGTTGACGATTGGAGTTGATGATCTTTAAGAGGTCTTTTCCAACCTTAATGATTCTATGACTCTATGTACACAGGCCTTGAAAAAGCTGACTTTTCTTGAAGATTTATCTTTTGAAGCTCAGAAACAGGATGAGAATGTCATCTCTTACTTAACAACACATACCTCAGTGACTTTTTAAAAGCTCATAGTTACCAAACAGCTCGAAAAACATACTGAAAGGTTCATTCGAATGTTGTAAGACTTCTTTTTTCCCAACACACAAGCCACATGTAGTTTTGCCTACTACAATTGTATCTGTTTTCTTCAGACATTACACTTCTATGTTTAAGACATTACACTTATTATATTCAACTAATATAAAACAAATTCTAAAATTTGTTTCTCATCTATGTTTCAATTGATGTTAAACTGTATCCGGCTCAGATGACAATTTATTAGGAAAAAAAGTATTATAGGAGGAGGCTATGCTCCCTCTGTCCTCTCCATTAGTAATAGCTAGTACGATCTGTGTTCCCAACTACAACTTGGAGAATGGAGGACAGCTCACAAGAAATGCCCACCTCATCACCACAGCTGCAGCTAGCCTAAATATATTAATTAGCTAGCCTTATATAGTTGTGTTCCCAGCTACTTAATGTTAGTCTCTCTACCTGAAGTTGTTGCAGCCCAGAACGACTCCCACAATGTTCTTGCCGATATCATGTACGTCTCCTTTCACAGTTGCTAGTACTATTGTACCATGATAAGGATCCTGAAAGTTAAACAAATAACACAAGAGTTAAATTACTCGGAAGCCTCAGTATGTTTGCACAGATCCTTCAACAGTGCAACTCTAACCTATGATAGAGACTCCTACCATAGTACAAGTAATTACAAAGTTTAGTAGAGGTAATATAGTCCATATTAAAAACTATTTTAAAAGATCCAGGTAATAAAAACTGCACAACAACTATTGTTGCAATTTCCATGCATGTTATTAAAAAAATCTGTGTTTAAAAAAACAAAATAGAAGATAAAACATTCCAGATCTGGATAGCATTTTGTGCAGTGCAATAACTGAACTCCTAAAGTACCTCTGCTCCAAATATAAACCTCACCAATAAAGAGCTTAAATAGATTAAATATTTAGAACAAACAGGTATGAACACTCATAATTACACACCTGTTTGTGCATTGTGCTGGTTTCAGCTGGGATAGAGTTAATTTTCTTCCTGAGAGCTTGCACAATGCTCTTTTGGATTTGGAATGAAAATAAAGTTGGTAACGTGTTGATGTTTTGAGTTGTTGCTAAGTAGTCAAGGACTGTCCAACTTCTCATGCTGGCCTGACAGCGAGAAGGCTGTGGGGTGCACAGGAAGCTGGGAGGGGACACAGCTGGGACAGCTGACCCAAAATGGCCAAAGGGATATTCCACACCATATGACATCATGCTCAGTATATAAAGCTGGGGGAAGAAGGAGGAAGTGGGGGGACGTTCTCAGTGATGGCATCTGTCTTGCCAAGCAACCGTTACACGTGATGGAGCGCTGCTTTCCTGGAGATGACTGAACACTTGCCCGCCCATGGGAAGTGGTGAATGAATTCCTTGTTTTGCTTTGCTTGTGCGCACGGCTTTTGCTTTACCTATTAAACAGTCTTTATCTCAACCCATGAGTTTTCTCACTTTTACTCTTCATATTCTCTCCTCCATCCCACTGTGGGGGAGTGACTGAGTGGCTGCGTGGGGCTTGGTTGCCATCTGGGGTTAAATCACAACAGTACCAAGAACAGTCTTTCAATGGAATGCTGAGAAGAAGGAGAGGAATTAGCAAAAGCAGAAGAGCCAGATTTTTTATGCAACACAAACAGCAAGGGAGACATTTCAGTGCAGTGATCAGACTACTTCAGACCACCCAAGCTGAACAAACAGGCTGGAAAAAGGATCTCCTTGAAGAAGGGAAGCTGTAACTGTCACAGACTGGTCCTAGGCTAGATGGTATGTAGCCTTGACAAGGGGGGCCTACCAGCAGGGCAACAGTGAACTTCCTATAGCAATTCTACACCAGGACACAGGCCTTTGCAATACATTTTTAGTTGTATAATCACTGTTGTCATTTGGAGCAGCTCCAGGCTATCACAGTGCTCTGTTTGAGCTGGTACAGGATCAGATGCCAGTAACAGGCTACTTAGATCACACAGAATTTAAATAAAGTGGAAACTTGAGCATATTCTATGTGAAACTACAAAATCTTTTTCCAGTCAGCATCTCATCTCGTTTGCAGATGGCAGAACTGGAGGACTAGATTCTTCTACAAAGCAGGTTATATTTCTGGACAGTATCAGGTAGCTCTCTACTTCATGAGCCTACATTGCCTCCTGCCGTTACAATTTTCTGGGGGAAAAGACTTTATATATTACCAAGAGTGATACTAGCTTTTCCTGTGGTCCTAACACATTTGTTGAATAAAATTGCTGGATCCCCTCCAATGCTGCTGTTTACTGAAGTCTATCTCCCCAGTGCTCCTGTTTTACAGGAGATCGGGGAACAGCGAAAGCAAAAGTGGAGGTAAGTCAGCCACCTCAGTACATCAACAAAAAGATTTGCAGCTGAAAGTATACTGCTGGAACATAAGAGAAAACTGGGGAAAGAGCTTAATCAAGGACTGGGGGAAGATCTGGGCTGCCCACACGTATCACACCCAATAACTACTGATGATTTAACTAGTGATTGATATCCAAGAAAAAAAATTGGATTTGCACATGAGAAGAAGGAAAATCTGTGCTGGGCAGCAAACAACATGGGCCTAAGCACACGCTATTTTAAATAAACCCTATTTAGGGCACACTGTGATTTCAGTTGTCTCAAGCAAGGAGGTCCTCAAGTTCTGGGCACACATCCAATGGGCTCCTTTTTTTCCATCTTGTTAGAGGTCAGCCACAGCTATTTATCCTCAAATGTAACTATCAATGCTTTGCATTTCCTGGCAGCCTGTGACTAAAACTGTCCTGGAGGTTACAGTAGCCTGGGTAACATCAGACAGGTCAGCTACTGGAGTCTGCAAATCATTTTCCTTCAAGTCAACAAGTAACTTTGGAGATAGATAAAGCTGTGTTTTCCTCTCTAACCAATTCTCTAAACAGTGGCAATATTTTTTTGAAGAGGAAGGCACTACCACCCTTGCCCAGCAGAAGATAGCGAAAGCAAGAGGACAGAAGCTCTACTTTTTCCTCTCCTACTCTCCTCACTCACACAGAATATCTCACAATCTCTTCAGAGTGCTTGCTATATTTTTAAGAACCTCTCAAATTCCACTTCACTTCTTTTTAGCCAGACAATTAAGTGCCAGAGGGTTCAAAGTACATCCTAATCCAACACCCATGGAAGGAATGGGGTAATAATTTTCACCGATTTCAAACAGCATCAGAACAAACCAGAAGGTGCCAAATACCAGCACTGTCATCTGAATTAAAATAAAAAAGAACAGCATGAGCAGGAGAGAGATGACACATAGAAAGGTGACTCATGACAGCCAGAGAACAGGTACATTTGAAATACTAGAGAGAAGACACCTTCTTCACATGCAGAAAGAACATGGGAGAAGAGGCTAGGCAATCTCCTTCTTCCATTAAGATTAGTCAGGTTTTATTATCAGGTCATTTTTCATTGTAAAATATTTGCTGTATTCATTATGCTTATGCTGGACAGTCACGCAACAGATCCACAGCAAATGGAAAGACACACTATAAGAAGATTTCAAAGGAAGAATTAGGAACCATTCAAAAATCCACAAGAGGGAAACCGAAGGTAATATACTGTCCTGGTTTCAGCCAGGATAGAGTTAATTTTCTTCACAGAAGCCAGTGTGAGGCTGTGCTTTGGATTTGGGATGAGAAAATGTTGATTATGTGCTGATGTTGAGTTGTTGCTAAGCAGTCAAGGACAGTCCAGCTTCTTGTGCTGGCCTGCTAGAAAGAAGGCTGAGGGTGCACGGGAAGCTGGGAGGGGACACAGCTGGGACAGCTGACCTGGGCTGACCAAAGAGATATTCCGCACCATATGACATCATGCTCAGTATATAAAGGTGGGGGAAGAAGGAAGTGGGGGGACGTTCGCAGTGATGGCATCTGTCTTCCCAAGTAACCGTTACACATGATGGAGCCCTGCTTTCCTGGGGATGGCTGAACACCTGCCTGCCCATGGGGAGTGGTGAGTGGATTCCTTGTTTTGCTTTGCTTGCGTGCGTGGCTTTTGCTTTGCCTGTTAAACAGTCTTTATCTCAAACCATGAATTTCCTCACTTTTACTCTTCTGATTCTCTCACCTGTCCCACCATGGGGGACTGACCGAGTGGCTGCATGGTGCTTAGCTGCTGGCTGGGGCCAAACCACGACATATACAAATATCACAGTTTAGAGAAATTCTGATATTCTTCCTATTTATTTGTGTTAAATGCCAGATTCTGATAACAGCTATTGTCTCTGAGAACTCATGAGGACAAGGTAAGGTTCCATAGGACTAAAGAGAAGTGTGCATAAAACTTAAATTTGATAGTCAAAGACAAGAGACGAAGAAAAATATTTAACAACCAAAACTGTAAGCACCTACCACATTATAAATATAGTAGAAAACAGCAGACACGAGTATTTAAGAGGTGATTTTGTCCAATTCACCTGAACTCTCTTTCCTACCGAGTATAATCTTGTCAGTATGGAGAAACAAGGGGCATCCTGTATCTTCATATTCCAATGTTTCTACCACATATTCAATTAACCAAATTTGGAAGAATGCACAAGTACTTGATAAAACTACTCTCAGGCATCACCAACTGTTGGCTGTGAAACAGGAAATGCTATAAAAGAAAGGCCCACGAGAATCTGAAAATCACTGGCTATTTTCAATTATATATATTGTATAAAAAGTAGTCTTCAGAAACCAGTGGAAAAACACACATATGAAAAGATGACTATATTCAAGTCCTGTTTTCATGAACACTTGTCCCCTGCAACTCGGTCACGGCTATACTATCCTATCATTACAAGAGGTCTTGAAGTCACAATCTGAAGAAAAAGGATGGAAGAATTTGGTTTGTTTAGCTGGGAGAATGGTCAGGGGTAGAGGGAAGGGAAGAGCTGAATAAAGATAAACATGGTAACAGGCTTTGAACATGCAAAAGGGAGTTCCATAGTTCACTGAGGGCAGAAGTAGTAGAAGCAAATGCCAAAATTTGCCATAAAGCTAGAAGGACCATAAATAACACTAGAATTAAATACCTACAAAAACACAAGAAATAAGTATGGTATGACACATATACACTGGTAGAAAGGGCCTACAAAGGCTTACGGCATCCTTCAGGAAGCTTGTGACAACAGCGCAGGCACACACCACGCAGAGTTCCACAAAATCTGCACTTTATGAATTTCAGAACTACTTCAACTTGTGCCAAGGTTATCAGTTTCCATATGACTGCATCAATTCTCCAGCATGAAAGCTGAATAAATGTCATTAGCAAAAAATAATATCCATTTTTGTCATGGCATGCTATGAAAGAGTTACAGCACAGAGAGTGTCTTGCCTCTTCCTCTATGCTGCCCTGTTCGGCTCTCCTTTCCTCTCTTTCTTTTTCCATATAGGGAATAAGGTGGCCAACCGCTTTCTTCATAACTCGAGCAGACTTTATCACCTGCATAGATAAACACAGAAGGAGGGCAGAAAATAAACAATAAAGATCAGGTATAGGAATAGCCTCAGATTTCTCACAGCTTTCTTTTATACCCATTCAAGCAATAAACAAAACTTCATTTGCAAACCCATATTCCAGCTTTGCAGAGCATTCAGTGGTAGCAGGCTGCTGGCCCTACTGGACTACAGGTCTACACACGACACTTGCTTCCACAGTGCAGCCTCTCGGACCACTCACAACAGAATTGGAAGCTACAAACACATCCAGACTTGGAAGGTGCTAAACAAAGCAATATTTATTTGGATCTTTTTTGTCTTGCCTTTTTTCATTGTCCCAGACTTAAAGCCACATTTCAAATAAAGCAAGAACACTCAGGAAGAACAGAAACATGTAAAACTACATAAAGTTAAGTTCCAAAGTAAAGAAGAAATAGGGCTGCTTCTTAGCAGCACCTGGATTTTCACAATTCATGTGCTATAACTGAAAAAAAAAGCCAGCATAGGATGTTTTGGCTACATTTTACAATGCTAGTTTTTGCAAAATAAGTATATACATGAAAATGTTTTCTTTTCACCTGAGGCAGAAACATCTTTCCAGCACCAAAAAGATCACCAACGATTTTCATGCCATTCATCAAAGGCCCTTCAATTACATTTAGAGGTCTAGGATACTTTTCCTGATTTAACCTTGCTTCTTCTGTATCTGCAGTGACATACTTCTCAATGCCCTGGGAAAACAATTGAAAAATTTTATCTTGCTAGAAATACAGCTTTTATTTAGTTGCCTCCCCCCCAAATTACAATGAAAATACAAACAGGTACTTTAAATACTGCTAGTCTTCTAGATGTGTATTTAAAATAGGTTTCTTAGGAAACAAAAGACTGCAGTTCTCAGGCAGATAAATTTATTCAAAGCAAGAGTCCCCAGTATTAACATGTTGGTTTGTTGTTTCCAGCCAAGGTCAACCTACCACACCATGTCATAAGAAAACCCAAACACTCAAAGACTGTTTCCAGAGCACAAGTGCCACTCAGTGCAGTACTGTTAAAGAACCCCCGCCCCCGGCCGAATGTAAAAGCAGTATGTTTCTACCAACACTAGTGGAATAAAATATTTAGAGTCAAAGACTTCAACTTGTGATGTTTAAAGACAAATCACCACAATCTTCTCTGTTAAAGTTAATTAAATATATTAATTCAATATAGTATTCATTATTAATTAATAGCTTTTAAAAGAATGGCTTTTGAAGAATTTCTAAAGACAAAGGTGTCCTTAAAGTCTGAGCTGAGATCGTGTCTCAGAGCTTACGGGTAGGACAATTTTCTGCACAGATTCACCTTTATGAGAGCATATTCCAGCCTTTCCTCCACAGAGCCCTTCCGCCACTCATCCGTCTGTACAACTTTTCTTCCTCCTTGGGCATGATTCTAAAAATGAAAGGCATCCATAGGAGGTTGCAAGCATAACTTTACTTTTAGAAAGCGAGGATAATTTTAAGTACTGGCCGACAAAGTAATTTTAGATTATTCAAAAAAATTTTATATAAATGCAAATTGTATTGCAAACACCCGTGATGTACTGCAGACACTTAGGGCGTCTACATCCCAAAGAGAATATACCTCAATGCAGATGGAAACAAAGCAAAGAAAGAAAAAAAGGAGGAAAATAAAATTAAAAAAAAAAAAAAAAAGAATTTCTAATAATTTTCTTGCTCTTAAAAATGATGAAATGACTAATCCTCAGGGTTTTACTTCTGGGAACGTAATTTAAATTGATTCCTGGCCCACACACTACACTTCATTTTAAAAATCTAATTAATTTGGCACTAATTCAGTTTCTGCTGGAATTGGTTATGTTATTCCATATCACAGATGTGTTTTCAATCAGGAGGCCTACAGAACTACTGTTTCTGATACACACAGAACCACCCAAACCCTCTCATACTCTCCTTTGCCTCATGCTCCCACTCCCCTTTACTAGGAACACAAAGGCCAAGAGAGCTTCACAGTGCAAGAAAGCTTGTAAGCACTGAGCCCAGGAAGGCTCATGGAAGAGCACCCTATCCATTACTTCAACCACCACACTTGAGACAAGTAATTTCTTTTCCTCCCTTGGTTACTGCACATAATCTGATGTCTTTCAGACCTTACAAACCTCCTACACTTTCAAGTGCTCATCAGCAACTTTTCAAAGATGGGCCATGGGAAAAGTCATGGCAAGATCTTTCATAGGAACAGAAACCAGAACAAGTCCTCATTAATGTTTACACGAATGTTAGCTAACATCACAGGTTCTCGTTGCCAAACCTCATTCCCCTCACAGGTCTAGTTTGTTAAAAGGGAATGAAAGGAGGAGGAACATGTTGCCCAGAGAGGTTGTAGAGTCTGTTCTTGGTTCTATTAAAAACCTGACTGACCATGGCCCTGAGCAACCTGCTCTTGCTGACCCTGCTCTGAGCATGGGGGTTGGACTAGACTATCTCCAGACATCCCTTGCCACCTCAGCCTTCTCTGATTCAATGAAAAGGTACCAAGTGCTCCTCAATCTCTGGTCAGACACTTTAGCAAGTGAACAATTCCAACCCAAAAACAACCCATGAAGCCGTAGGGTGAGCACACAAGGACTACAGTGGCAAGCACTACATGCAGATCTTTAAAAACAGGATGATTATACTGCATGCTGAGGATGAAAATACCTGCCTTTGGAAGAACAACTCCCACTGACATAAATGGGACAAAGTTTCAGTTTGAGAATGTCTGTAGCTATGCACTTTATGGAAGAGTAAAGCTTTTCTAATCTCAAACTTCAAATGAAGACTTATCTACTAAATCTGCAAGGATTCATTTCCTCATTTTGCCCCAAAGGTTGAACATTCAAGCAATTGGCAAGGTACATTACTATTACCTGAAGGAACTAGGTGGAAAGTTCACTGGTGCTCTATTAGAGGTACTTGAAATGGGACTGCATATTCTATGTTCTTTGTGCAGAATAAACTGCAGTAATTGGAAATAAAAAGAACTTACTGACTAATACACTTCTGTGTTAAAAAAAACCAATCACAAAGCCTTTAGACAAAAGAACTTAAAGCCATTCAATTCCACAATATCAGAGGAAGGTCTGAATAAGTATTTTGAAATGTGCCTCAAACTCCAAAACCTGACATAATAATCCCCTTCATTGGCTTTAAGAAATGCCTCTTGCATTTCTCCAGTGCCAAGATGAAACCCAAATCAGAAAGCTTACATCCAGCGAAAAATATAAAACATTACCTTCTAATAGAGCTAGATGTTTTGGATCAATGTCTGGTTTATAAACAAGAGCTGGTTTAGCCCCATAATAAAAGTTTCATGAATAAGAGCAGAGATTCCAATATTTGGAATATCAACAATAGCTTCCCAAGCTTCTAGACCTAGAAGAAGTAGTCCACTTCTATTCCTACTTTTCATGCTCCATTTAGGTTCACATTCTGCCTTCTGCAGAAACACTGCTTAAGCAATGCCTTTCTAGTACCTTTTTTTTTTTCCCCTTCCTCTTTATACAGCCTTGAACACTCTAATGGTAAAATTCTGCTTATACAGACAAGATCACTCCCAGGTGAATTGCTTAGACATTCAAGAGTACCATATAAAATACTCTAAGCACAAGGGATAGAGAGAGTCTTCCTGTACTGGTTTTCAACATGTTGCCATTGTTCCAAACAAGCAGGAACCACCACAGGGCAAACTACAAACCAAATGAAGCTGTGCACAGGAAATACCTCCAGGAGCTACAAAACGGGCACACGACCTTCTTGTGCACTTAGATTAAGAGCCACCTAACCCAGAGATATTTTGCTGGATGTTCTGTTCAGAACAGGATTTCACCAGACACCTGATGGCTCATAATCTGGAAGCCTTCAGGTGTGTAATCTTTATCACCACTGTCATGACAGCATCTCCAAAACACTAAATAGCTGATCCTCACTCTGACATGACTTACATGAACTGGAAGTCTATGGCACAGCCAGGAACTGCAAGCAACTACTTCACCTTTTATATATAACGCCAAGCAAACCACCACCACCAGAGACACAGGTTTACTCTTTGCCTCCCACAGCGCACTTGTCGATTTTGCTCCAACACCAAGATTTGCTTTGGTTGTAGGTTGGCTTTTTCCATTTTTTGTTTGTTTGTAAGGGTTTGTGGTTTTTTTTTTTTTGGTCTGGCGGTTTGTTTTAGTGGGTTTGGTTGGATTTTTTTTGCTTGTTGTTGGTTTTGGGTTTTGTTGTTTTTTTTTTTAAAAAAAAAGAACACCTATGCAGCTTGGTCTCCTGAAGCATCTGAACTCTGGTGGAGGATATTTCAAGGCATCTATGAAATTGGACAGGCTCAATCTATTACAGAGCTCACATTAATAACTGAACCACTTGTAGTATCATTAGTAACTTCTAAGATCCACTGTTAGATTTGACAAGTACAGTGTATAGGCTGTTCTGCCTGTCATCAGCAGGGAGGCATTAAAGCCCAGATGCTAAGCTAACCACTATTCAAAACTTAAAATTGGAAGTTACCTGAGCATAATGTAAAAGTTTCTCTGTCGCATCAGGATCTTTGTTCCAGATTAGATTCTCACACAGCTGTAGCAATTCCTTGTGGATATCATCATACACTGGCAGATTCCCAGCGTTCACAATTCCCATGTCCATGCCATACTGAAAAAAAAAAAAAGCCATACAAAATCCCCCAACCAGGGCTGTCAGACATAGCACTGCACATCTGCCAAGCACAAACACATGGCAGTCAAAAGCACATCATACCTTAATCGCATGGTAAAGGAACACTCCATGCATTGCTTCTCGAATGGCATCCATTCCTCTAAAGGAGAAAGACAGATTGGAAAGACCTCCACTTATCCTGGCTCCTGGCAGTGTTTCCTAGAGGAATTGCACATAAATTTTTAGCAAAATGCTTTCCAAAAGGGAAACCTAAGCAAACCATTCAGCCCATAAAATAGCTGGCCCCTGAGCTGTGGTCACTGGCTGTGTACCATTTCTTGTCCTCCCTGTTCTAGATCCTTCTAGTTACTCCAATTCATAAAAAGCAATTCAAATCTGTAGAAAACGATACAAGTAAAAGGTGTGTAAGCAACTACCACTGTTTCCACAGCCGTAGGTGCTGTTCTAAACTCTAAATCAGTCCTCCTACAGCAGCATTCCAGATTTTCCCCCTGCAGAACTACTTATGGCTCTTTCACCCCCCACCCCTCTGGAAACAGGGAGCAGCCAACCTGCCTGCTTGCATGTCTCAGGAGCAGGCTGTAGCTGAGCAGCTAAACTCAAGGTTGCACCCTCCCTTCCAGAAGCCCTGTGGTGACAAATAGCCTGTGGGGTGGTGACAAATAGCCTCAGACTTTGACTGACAGAGCATCTCCAGACCATTCAAGTTGCCTTGTGAAATGCAACAATACGGCTTCCTTGGCTGTATTCAGGTGATGCTCTTCATTGCCATACTTCCTTACATACATTTTCGCTAAATAGAAAGTCAGGTTAGTGCACAAATCCCTCCACAGTAACGGAAACTAATTTAAAAGGACAGCTTTCGCATACCTTCAGAGAGGTTCTTTTAGCTAGAATATGAATAGATAGTTACTTCATTTAATTAATATAGTATATTTACAGTAGAAATATTGGATTGAAATGTATTTTCAACTTCTACTGGAAATACAGCAATACTGGGGAATGGCTGCACTCCAGAAGAACAGTCCCCCTTGCTAATTTCAAATGCCTATAATTTTGCAGCAGTGTTTTGTTGTTGTTGCTTGGGAGTGGGAGGTACTTTTCTGTTTTGTGGTGGTTTGGGTTTTTAAGTAATCTCAGTAAAATACTTCAAATTAAAATAGGTTTACAACTCACTTTTATGGTTTTAGTAGCATTGATAAAATTCATGGCATACAGGTTATGTTCTTCCATTCCGGTTCCTATGGTCAAAATATTAGGGTCAAATATTATATCATTTGGATTGAAGTCCACTTTTTCCACAAGGAGGTGATAAGCTCTGGAACAGATTGCTATCTTGGTTTCTGTTTCTGTTGCCTAGTGGAAAAAAAGAATTCTGACATGAAGCTTACAGATAGCACAAAAAAATAAAGCCCCCAGAAATCATTTACAGTTCTACTGACTGAAGAATGAGAATCTGAAAATTGTATTAGAAAAGTATTATATATAAGAATTTCATATTAAAAACGTCACCACATCTGTACGTGGCGTTTTGATTCAGCTACTTAAAAACAATTTTGTTCCCCAACTTTTCACCATCTTATGCGAAGTTTAGTATGTGTTTTTTGACATTACTAAATGGATTCAAAGATTCCACTCTCATGCAAAACTCAGTTTCTGAACTAAAAAAAAAAAAAACCTATGAAGGAGGAGTTCAGCATGGCTGAATAGTAAGAGACACACTCTTGTGCTAGCAGAAATATACTTGGAGCAATACTTGGATTCCTCAAACGTGAGCAGCATAAGAAATGCTTACATATCAGGGTCAAAACTATTGCTAAGACTATGTAGATCTCTTTAAATCACTTGTTCCAATGAAACAAAACAACTTGGTCTTGCACAGGAGTAAGAAAGCCTTGCACTCCAGAAGAAAAATATCTCCTTTAAAGCAACACTCACCTGCCCCGCTTCATCAAAAGCCATGACAACCACAGCTGCTCCATACAACTTAATTTTCCTTGCCTTCTCCAAAAAGTCTTCCTCACCTTCCTTCAGACTGATGCTGTTTACAATGCATTTCCCTTGGCAACATTTCAAACCTGCTTCAATCACTGAAAAATTTGATGAGTCAATGCATAACGGCACCTGTAAATAACAGAGAAGTAAGCCAGAGGAATACATACAAGTTATGAATTACAAGTTCCACATGCTGTTAGCCCATTTGGACATAAAAATGCACACAACATTAATCAGCATTTATGAATAAAAATTTACCAGATGGTATTTGTAGATTCACTTCACTTTAAATACAAAACTCAGAGCAAATTTAACTCAAGAGCTTCTACAGCAACTCCATCACATATCATATAGAGACCTCTACTTTTCCCTGTGTTGTCCTGTGTTTCTGAATTAGATATTCATTTTTAGAGAATACACTTTGCAGAATTATCTTTTAAAACTATCTTATATCCACAGCAATTTTAAGTTTTGTGGAAATCAATACTGTTATGCACTGCCAATATATAGATTGTGGCTCATAACTGCTGCAAAAGGAACCTGCATTCAGCTTTTCTAACCAATGAAAAGGACAGGCATATATTTAGCTGAAATTAGATAAGAGAATGTTAAAACCTCTGTTTCCCCCAAAGGTACTATTACAGTACCCTTTCCTCTTGGGGGACACCTACATCTCTTATTAAAGACCTAAATTGGTTACTAAATAAATCAATATAAAAATTTTCTGAAAGGCAATTTCCAACTCAATAAAATGTTCTTTATTGTGCTTTGGAGTGACTCAGTTACAACCTTCGCAATATCAGGTTCTGAAGAAATCAAGTTACAAAATCTGGTCATTGCAGCAGGGCCATCCAGCATCCCATCATCCATATTGATGTCAAGAACCTGGGCCCCCATCTCAACTTGCAATTTGGCTACACTCAGGGCTTCCTAAAGAAGAAAGTTAAAAGCCAAAAACAGTCAGTAGAAAAAAGCCTAGTCATTCTCAGGATAACATTTCACTTCTCCAAAATAAAACACGCAGCCAAAAATGTAAAAATTTATAAGACATTCCATAAGAGAGTAAGGAAATGGTCTGTGATGTACAACAACAGACAAAAGTTGTTAGTATGGCACAGCTAATAACTAATTCATTCACAAAAGCATGACACCAGAGGCCTAATGTTCTGGTAGTGCCATTGATTTTAGACAGTTAGCCATATGCTTAATTGAATGATTTAAGCTTTGCATGGTAACAAGGACTTCTGACTATACAAGATTACAGGAAAACAGTCTCTGTGATGGTATGAAATAAGGGTCTCGCATCACAAGCTCTGCTGTTTATAACAGAGTATTTAATTTTTGGAAGTTGTTCAGCATTTTTTTTCCAGCTATGGAATAATCACCAAGTGCTAAGAAGGACATACTAAAGCTTTCCCTCCAGTCCACATAATTATCTGAAAACCTGTGCCTGTTCACTGTCTCTTTTTTGCCACTCTGCAGACTGAGGAGACAAAAAAGAAAAAGGTTTTTAGTTGCTCACAGTCTCTAACAACCTGTGTTTAAAGCTCTCTTTATTTAATAGGTCTAACCTGCATCATGACTGCTAAGAACTTAAGAGTCAAACTCCCTAAAAAACAAACTAAGGCTTTAGTTTTGATTGCATCAACTAGAACAACAGAGCATACCCTGGGGCAGAGTCTCAGCTATCAAGAAATGTCACTTTACTATTTGTTTGAACATTACAGTAACAATTTACACCAGTAAAGTACGAGCACTCCAGCCTTTTAATTTCTGCCCTGTAGCTGTTGTTTCAAGAATGCAATTAACTTCTAAGCAACTTTTTCTGTAGCAATTCTCATGAGCATGCTGGAGCCAGTGATCAAAGTATTTAAAGATTAGATGCAACCATGACACTGA